CCCTCAACTCTAGCAAACGCCTACCGTTCACTAACTCATATGCCATGTAGACCAAGAGGGATCACATTCTGGGCTATAAAACATACTCAGCAAATGGAAAAGAATAAAAGCCTTACAATGTCTTCCTTCAGACCACAGTGGAATTAAATGAGAAACTGATATCAGGCACATTTCTAAATAATAACCCAATCAAACACTTGGGCCTTTCATGCCTGTTCAATGCTGCTTGTAGGCCTCACACCCATTTTGTGAAGTAGCAGTTGGGAAGACCATGACTACGAAGGCCTTACTACTGAGGCACGTCAAATTCCAATTCGTCAGGCAGTGAACCAATGGACCAGACACTCGCACAAGTGGAAATAGAGGGCATGGATACAACTGTATTTCTCGAGCAGGAGACAGTGTGTTTACTAGAAACATCCTGCTATCTGAGCTCAGAACACATCTCCCAAAGACCCAGGACATTCTCAGTTCCAAAGCTCCGAGTGTCCCACCACAATCTGGCCTCTACAGAAGAGAGTCTTCCTTCTTTATTGTAAGTGAAGTGAGTGCTGAGTATGCACAATCCTATCTTTGCCTTCTAAAAACTAAACAGGCAACAGTATGTTTTGATTAATGTCAACTGAAGACAGATGGGGAAATACCAGTTCTATGAAAACACATGTTTTCTTTGGCTCTCACAGTTATATTCCCCAAGTTATTTTACCCACACCACTTCAACAAAACAGCAACATAAGGGTCCGTGTTCAATCACAGGATTCTAATGTTTCCCATTTATCATTATGAAAACAAGGATAACTTTATAACTATTTGTATGCATGTAGGAGAATTTATCACTAATTATAAAAATTACTTAAAAGCCAGATTTTCCTTTTAAATTAAGAGTCTTACATAGTTATTTTTAATTAAGAATTTAAAATGGGGGGTGGAGAGATGGCTCAGAGGTTAAGAGCACTGGCTGTTCTTCCAAAAGCCTTGAGTTCAATTCCCAGCAACCACATCGTGGCTCACAACCATCTATAGTGAGATCTGGTGCCTACTTCTGGCATGTAGGCACACATGGGCAGAACAATGTATAAATAAGAAATAAAATAAACCTAAAAAAAGAATTTAAAATGGGCAAAAGATCTGAACAGGCTCTTTCTCAAAAAATAAAAAAATAAAAAAAATGAACACAGGTGGTAAGGTTCTAACATCATTGCAACTAAGGAATTTTAAATTAGAAAGAAGGATATAAGCAACACTTTATGATGTCCCTTTAAAAAGGGCCAAAAACCTCATATATTGACAACATTGGATGACGAGCGACAAGTGAGGAGCGACAGGAATGCTCCTTGCTGCTCTTGGGAATGCAACATGCCAGAATAAAATGAAAACACGTCCACACACAAACACAAAGCACCTGTGTTCCTAACTGCAGCAACTAAGATGCTTCTTGGGAGATGAATGGACAGATGACCTGTGCCACATCAAGAAAAGGCACTCTCTCTGCATTTTAGATACCAAGCTCTTAAACCACAAGACAGCTTGAAGAAAACCTTAACACCACCTAAAAAGTGCCACAGAAAAGATGGCTACCTATCCTAAATCAGTAAAATGACAGAGGGAGCAAGAAGGTGAGTAGCTGCCAGGATTCGGGGTACTCCCCTGTGCTGCCGTACTGTCCGACACAGGTCGCATGTTTGTCCACACTCCAAGCGCGACCCAGCAGAGAGCCCCGGTGTTAAGTGGTGCATGCGGAGTGAGCAGACCCCGCTGCTGTCCTGCAGCCTGCCGACAGTGGGGCTGGTTATAAACGGGCTCGGGAACTGTCGTTATACTCTGCTCCATCTTCTGTGGCATCGAAGTTCCTCTCAGAACAGAATTAAAGTGTTTACTACTTTAAAACTTATTTTAAAGGTTTAAAACAGGTAAACATTTTACTTTTCAAAAGATTTGAGAAAGAGCTGTTTGACATGGGCCAATGTTATCTCTTTAAGCATCCCTGACTTGTTTTTCAGAATCTCCCCCTCTTTTTTAATATAATTTTTTATTAATTACATTTATTCACTTTGTATCCCAGCTGAAGCCCCGTCCCTAGTCCACTCCCAATCCTACCCTTTCTTCCTCATCTCCTCCCATGCCCCTTCCCCAGTTCACTGATAGTGGAGGTCCTCCTCCCCTTCCATCTGACTCTGATAGAGGTCTCATCAGGACTGTCTTTCATAGTCATCCTCTGTGGCCTGGTAAGGCTGCTCCTCCCTCAGGGGGAGGTGATCAAAGAGCCAGCAACTGAGTTCATGTCAGAGACAGCCCCTGCTCCCCTTATTAGGGAGCCCATTTGGAGACTGAGCTGCCACAGGCTACCTCTGTGCAGGGGGTCCAGGTTATCTCCATGCATGGTCCTTGGTTGGAGTTTCAGTCTCAGAAAAGACCCCTGGGCCCGGATTTTTTTTGGTTCTGTTGCTCTCCTTATGGAGCTCCTGTCACTCTTCCAGTTCTTTCTATCTCCCACTTCTTTCATAAGATTCCCGTACTTTGCCCAAAGTTTGACTATGAATCTCAGCATCTGCTTTGATACCCTGCTGGGTAGAGTCTTTCAGCAGCCCTCTGTGGTAGGCTCCTGGCTTGTTCCTTATTTTCACCTTCTTCCAATGTCTGTTCCATTTGCCTTTCTGAATGAAGATTGAGCATCTTACCCAGGGTCCTCCTTCTTGCTTAGCTTCTATAGGTGTACATATTTTAGTATGATTATCCTATATTATGTCTAATATCCACTTATTAGTGAGTATATACCATGTGTGTCTTTCTGCTTCTAGGATAGCTCACTCAGGATGATCTTTTCTAGTTCCATCCATTTGCCTACAAATTTCATGATTTCCTTGTTTTTAATTGCTAAATAGTATTTCATTGTGTAAATGTACCACAATTTCTATATCCATTCATCAGTTGAGGAACATCTGGATTGTTTCCAGAGTTTGGCTATTACTAATAAAGCTGCTATGAATATGGTTGAACAAATGTCTTTACATATGGCTTTCCACTGTCCATCTTCAACACATATCATTGTCGGGAGCCGCTCCCCGCCATTACGAGATGGCGCCGGCTTCCTGC